TTCAACAAGTGAGAATCTGGTCAAATGGTGATGGTTCTGTCTAAGTCTCATTCAAACCGTATTCTTGGGTGGCTTGTTACACTTCAACAAGTGAGAATCTGGTCAAATGGTGATGGTTCTGTCTAAGTCTCATTCAAACCGTATTCTTGGGTGGCTTGTTACACTTCAACAAGTGAGAATCTGGTCAAATGGTGATGGTTCTGTCTAAGTCTCATTCAAACCGTATTCTTGGGTGGCTTGTTACACTTCAACAAGTGAGAATCTGGTCAAATGGCATATGAATTACTTATATTTTTATTTTCGATAATGTGATTGACATGAACATAAAACAAAGACACACACTTGAGATTTTGTAATTAAAATTAAATACCTATAATTATATATTTCAAAAATGTCTAAAGTCTACAGCTAACTTGATATTTTAGCATTTATAAGTAGGATGCCCATTTTAAGGTTTTTTATGAAGTCGTAGTACATTCAAGGCTGGATTAAGATATTGATGGACCTGGGAGAAATATTTTATGGGGGGGGCTTCACCAAAGTGATGCCAGAAAATTTTGGCATCTATTCAGTATTCTATGGGATAACTATGCAAATTTGTATTTATATTATAATATAACATTTTTATATTATAGTGAAATACGTCTGTGTTATATCAGAAATTAATATCTTTTCTGGTCTAGTTTTTGGCCTATTGTCACCAAAAAGTAACCGTGAATGAAAAGTGCATAGGTATATATTTTTTTCTTATATTAATTTATCTCCAAGTTTGTTCTTTCGTCCAATTTGATGGTCTACTTCCCAGCCCTTTTTTTAAAAATATAATCTACTTTGTTGGGGGACCTGGGACATTTGCCCCAGATGCTCCGCTTCTGATGCATTTTTGTTTATTTTGGACATGAGCAATATGAAAAAATCTGTCTTGTGAGTGTTCCAACTTTCAAACTATGAAAAATTGATATAACAAGCATGTGTTATTAGAGCTACAGATGCCCTAACTACTACTAACTTTGATGAAAACAAATCTCTCAAATCTATAGCACACACACACATTGTTAGTGTCTGGGAAAAAGCCAGGGCATGAAACAATCATAGCAACTTTAATTTATGTTCATATTGTTGTATTTATTTAGAAATAATTTGTTATTGGCTGAGACTGTAATAGCATTGCTGTAGACTACAGCTGCATTGGCTTCAGAGAAACTGAAAAAAAGAGCTTTTATGGTAATTAATAGACCAATCAAATAAAAAAACTGACATCTAATGTTTGTTTTTGATACAATATGGCTGTTTTTTTTTAATTTCTGAAAAACATGGATGGGGTTCAGACCTCCCCCTCTACATCTGTGCTTACTCATACAATATTAAATAATACAGTTATTAATGTTGGAAAAAAATGGGTGAGATTTGCCTTCTGAATTCCTCCCCTAGCTCTGTGCCTGCTTATACAACATTAACGAATACACAATCATGAATTAGAAACTTAATGCAGTGTAAAAAACAATTAAGTAGCCAGAGAGTTGGTGGTTGGTGCTTCGAGCCAGTTACCTTCCCTCTAGTCAGCAGTTCAAAATTAGTGACCATGAGAGATAGCCTTAGTAACTTTGCAGTAACAAAGACAGGATGAGCAAATTTAGTGGCAATCACACCTTAGAACCTTAAATAACAAAACATTCTCCACACCACCACCACCACCAGCCAATTATATAACATTTAGCATAACAACATACATAATGGCAATATTTCAGTTAGTTAATCAGTTTTGTGACAATCAGTTTAATCATAATTCCTATTATCAGTTGTTGGAATAATCTAAAACAGTAATAATTGGAATAACTAAATTTGATTAGTTGATTATTTTGTGACAATCAATTTAATTTAAATTTTGATTAATCGATTGTTGAAACAATAGAAATTATAATAATCAGAAACACTACTTTCATTTAGTTGATATTTTTATGACACCAATAAATTAATCGTAATTTTAATTACACGATTAGTTTATGAGACACTAATCTATGTAATCATGGTCCATAGGTAGTCGATTAAATCACCCAACCCTAATTACAAACTATAGCATTTGCAAGAAATCAGTACCGTTAATTCTATAGATGTCTGTTACATTCTAGAATATTAAAGACTTATGAGGGAATGTTACAGTCTGTAACAGCTTCTAGTTAAATTTTATCCCTGACATCTCACCTGGTAGTTCCGACAATGATTTTTAGTTAACTTTTTTTGTTATCCTGCTGTTAATTTGAATTGATTCTTAACAAACTTACTGTGTGATGATGCTATTCAAATTTTCCTTCGAGATCTTACGTGCATTGATAGAAGTAAACAGTCGTGCTTTTCTGTATTGTTTTTCCTTGATTAATTTTGGGGATTAGAGGGTTTTTGGAATGGGCTAAAGTAATAAAAGTGTAAAGTTTATGTATCATATTTTGCTACATATTCAGTCTCCTATATAAATATAGGCTCACCTTGATGGACAAAAGACAATTAAAAACACCATGTATATAATATTTAGTTAAACTGTGAATTAGACATTTTGTTGTTAAGTTCAGAAACTCCTGATGTGTATTTTGTTAACATGTACACAACTACTGTGAGATCTTTTGACATTTTGTTACAGTTGATGAAACTGTTGCGTGTATTTTACTTTGGCCAGTTTGTTACACAAATATTTTACTTGTAGTTGACTCGAAGAGCATTATTTCCTGGAGATTCTGAAATTGATCAGCTTTTCCGAGTCTTTCGAACTCTGGGAACACCTGATGAAGACACGTGGCCAGGAGTGACTAAACTCCCTGACTATAAGTCATCTTTTCCGAAATGGAAAGCACAGGACATGAATAAACTGGTACCTAACTTGGATTTGGATGGACAGGATCTGCTTCTGGTATGTTAAGTAACTTCAAAATTAGATACTAGGAACTGTAAAAAAATTACAGGTTCATCAAAACATTTGTCTTTTCAGTGAAGTTAAAACTGAAATTAGAAAGATATTGTAGAGTCAGAAATGCTTTTATAGAAGTATGAATGTGTTATCCATCTCCCTTTTCTCAGTTTTTATTTCAGTAGCCTAAAGTGTATATCTTAAAACTCTGAAAAAACTTCAATGCCTATTACAAAGTAAGCGTATAAACATATAAGCTGTTAATTGTTTGTTAGAATAATACACTTTTTTTAGTGGACTTACAAAAAGAAAACTGCCATCATTACAGTACCTTTTAAATAACCAGATAATGCAAGTGTAATGCTAATGGCTCAGTTTTTTGAGATTGACTTTAAAAATTCTAATTAAGAAACAGAAATAAGTTAGAGAAAAATCCAGTCGTCAGTAAGAACAGTAAAAAGCTGTAGTAAATAAAGACGATTTACAAGAATAAACAAGCCAAATGTGATCAACCTTCAGGAAGAAGAATCATTATCACCTTTTTTTTTATTTTTGTAAATAAACTAACTCATAATAAACAAGATTAAATGTAATTTAATTTGTTAATGAGGATTTTTAAGAGAAACATTATGAAATTGTTAATTAGGTATAATTTTTAAAAGAATTCACACATATTTAGAGATTCCAGCTTAAAATGACTGCTCAGCATTTTCAGAAATCATGGATAAACTTATGGAATAAATCTCTCTTAATGTATAATTTCTTTGTATATTTACCACCTGAAACCATTGTACATGTTTTATCAGTTTTACAATAAGTAGTTTTTTAAATTACATATATTTGTATTAAACTAATATGAATTGGACAATTGAATGTATTACTCACTATAGTGTGTTGATTTTTATCCATCCATTAGATCTGTGATGCATAAACTGTGGGGCATGCAACAATGATTGTAGGAGAATAAATATTATATCTGAAAGTACAAAGCTAGAAATAAAGAAGTTTTAAAGACTACCATAGAAATAGTAATACAGTTAACATGGCCAAATGATATGTACGGTATATACAGTGTAGGTTATACAGAGTGTGGGGAGGCAACAAAATACATGCTTAGAGAGGTCAAGCACAATAAAAACATTTTGCACACCACTTCACTAGGCTAACTTTTATTTTGAAAGATAATAGTAGTAGTACAAGACAACTATAGTAGCTTATTGGTTTTTGATGGCCTTCCAGGTTTTATTTAACTTTGAGCAAGACAACTTGTAATGCCCGTTATTATATAATAAAAACCACAAATACGTTCATTGATAATCTATTAGATATTGTGTCGTAACAGTTCATGAAATAAAGTTAATTAACTTAGGAAAAGTATATGTTGTGAATTCCATTTTATCTTAACTAAGAAAAATCAGAACTAAAGTATTTTGACAGTTCAGTATAGATAAGTTTTAAAAGTGAAAGCTAAGAAATATTAGATAGAAACTGTATTCCAGCAGATCTGAAAAGAGGGAAAATTTTGCACAAAGTTATTCTCAGCATGATTTAAACTGTTAAAGTTTGCCCTTATTTGCTCTTGAAAGGCTGTAGAAAGAAACACTTAACATTTTAAGTTTTGTTGTTTGATTTAATATCTAAAGAAAGAAAGACTGCAGAAAGCCAACAAGCTGTGCCAGCACTAGCAATAAAGAACTCTTTTTTTTTTTTAGTTACAGAGGAAATATTTTTACATTCATTACATTTTCTGCTCAGATTTATTTGAAAGAACTACCAAAATATATGTGATAAAAAAATGTACATCTAAGCATAGGCACAGTAATTGCTATCATACATTTATCGGTTTGTAAGAGGTAGAAAAATTTATTTCTTCGATAGTTTTGGTATTAAATTTTACTATTTTAACTGTTTAGTGCTGACACAAGAGATTTTTTTTTTCACTTAATAAGCAAAAAAATTTATATTAAGGAGTAATAGGCAAGTGACTTGATTGAAAAAGTTACAAAAAAATTTGTGTTAAGTTTTGTTGTTTGATTTAATATCTAAAGAAAGAAAGACTGCAGAAAGCCAACAAGCTGTGCCAGCACTAGCAATAAAGAACTTTTTTTTTAGTTACAGAGGAAGTATTTTTACATTCATTACATTTTCTGCTGAGATTTATTTGAAAGAACTACCAAAATATATGTGATAAAAAAATGCATATCTAAGCATAGGCACTGTAATTGCTATCATACATTTATCGGTAGAAAAATTTATTTCTTCGATAGTTTTGGTATTACATTTTACTATTTTAACTGTTTAGTGCTGACACAAGACATTTTTTTTTCACTTAATAAGCAAAAAAATTTATATTAAGGAGTAATAGGCAAGTGACTTGATTGAAAAAGTTACAAAAAAATTTGTGTTAATGACGTGAATGAAGTCCTGGCCTTGTTTAGGTTTATAACTATTTGGTTTACTATGCCCAAAAGGGTTTAAGCTAGGGTTCAGAAAGATTAGATATTTAAAATATATAATGAGTAGAAATATTGAAGTACTAAAAAGCTGAGAAGTAGATATCACATGCGCTTAAAAAATGTAACGCCTGATATTTCGGCCTTGTACTCACATTGTATCATGTGACATAGAATTAAATTTAAAATATTTGCATTCAAGTGAAGTTTTGAATATGTTTGTAAGTAACTATTCAGCATTTGTTTTCTGCCTTGTAATAATTACTATTTATTAACTTTATATCATGTAATTAATTTTTTTATTATTTTGAATTTAATTGTTACAAAGATTAACTACTTGAGCCCTCAATTATCAGCTTGTTTTTTGTTATAATGTGTTTTATCATTGTTTGGGTACTTTTGGATTATTTGGTAATAATTATGCCAAGTTCAGTCCATGTAATAGTAATGGATTAATTTATTTCTTGAATAAATGTTTGTTACAGCCGTGTTCACTTGTCGGCCTAAATTAAAGTGTAATGTTTCAAAAGATACTGCAGAACTATTTAGGCCTAACTTACTTAGATTAAATCAATGAATAAACAAACACATAACTTACTGAGTAACTGAATAGCAGAGTAGACACAATAACGTTCACTATTAATACTGAATAACTTTTCTGTTATTGAACTGACTCACTAATTCACTGCTTTTACTAACTGACTGAATTATGATTGATTCCTCATTTTTATATCATACCCTTGTTTCTACATAATACACAAACCTTTTTGACTCTTAAACTTCCATGAACTTTCCAGATCCTAGCATCACGTGTCCTATAGCAAACACTTAAATTAAAACATTGGAAATATAATTTACAAAATTGTTATTATTTTCGTACTTTGCTGAAAAGATTTTTAGCATAATACGCTCTTTAGAAAATCTGTATGCTACATAAATTATTGAAAATTTTAATGGGCATCTCTATCTGTAAATCTCCCCAACATCTAAAAAAAAATCACTGTCATTTTGCAAGTTAACTGTACTTTTTATCATCTATGTTGTGTTCTGTTCATTTATATTCCTATGTCTGCTTTGAAGTATCAGCTACTTAGATAGCTTGCAGCATAGACCTTTAAATATTTCTTGTGATGTATGACATTTTTCCATTTTGCATAGTCTTATGATTTAATCTCAGAATTTTTTAAATGAAAGTAGAAAAATGTATGGATTTTTTTACCCTTAAATTGTTCCTCAAATATATTAAACAAATTTATCTGCAACATAAAACTGCTCGTAAGGTTTTCTCAAATGTAGGCATATCTGCAGGTCCACAAACAAACTTATATCTATTAAGAAGTTTACTTAAAATAATTTTGACCAGCTGAAAATAATCAAAGATCTTCTTAAATTGTCATATAAAGATACATACTAATATATATAAAACACAATAAAACGACACTAGGTTCTTGTATGTGTAAGTAAAACATTTAAAATTTACTAATGTTGTGATCAGTTGTGTAATTTTTTAAAGTCGTGAATAAACAGTGTTATTAACATTAATTGTAGACTTTCCCTTAGTCTCAAAATCAGAGCAGCCATATCATTATAAATGGTATTCATTAAAGTAATAAGTATAATATCGGAGGTATGACATTCTTTAGTATCATTAGGACAAGTCTAGATGCAAAGTTAATGAATAGTAATAAAATTTATGTATTAATGTGATTAAAAAATGTATGCATATAATGATATTTTTTTCCTTTATTGACAGAAAATGTTAAAATATGAACCAAATCACAGAATATCGGCAAAGAGCGCTCTGAGTCATCGGTATTTTCGTGATGTGACAGTCCAGCCACCACCTTTGTAACTGTTAAACCAATTTATCACATATTGCACAAAACCAGTATCTTTATTATATGGGACCAATATGTATAGCTTTGTTATTTTATGTTAATAATTGGGTTATTTTCTGTTTTTTTATATGAAAAACTATATTTTAAAATACAATTGTAGTTTTTACTGAATAAATCTTCATTACTTCACATTTAGTTTGTATATGTGTTTGAAAAGAAAAGTTTTATTTAACATAAAATTTATTTTGTTTTTTTGTATTCCCTCACATTTTCCATTTAACGTTATTACTGTACATAAAATACATTTGTTTTAATCACTATGTTAACTTCTCTAGGTAACAAGAAGGACACTCAATTCAAAGTCTACTCACTGTATTAACTACAATGGGTAGTAGGAATGACATTCAATCTAATATTCTCAGATTTTTCATTAGCGACTATTAATTTTTAGGAAAGCTGGCGGATTTTAAAACAGAATTTTATGCGTAAATACTACAATGCTTATACAGGATTATCTTTCTACATAATTTGTACAGTGACTTTAATTGCTAAACAGTTAAGACTTCTATACCTTACATCATGTTGTAATTGATAAAATTAATAGCTGTGAAATTACTACTTATTTCTGAGCATTATTATTTTATCACAATGTTTTAAAAAGATTTATTGTAGGTTTTTTTAGCTTTCAATGTAAACTTTTGTGAAATTTACAATACTTGATGTATTTCACTGTTAAGTAGTCTTATTTTATTACAAATTACAGTTTTTACAGTAAGTAAGATTTGTTTCTAGAATAGATACGACGTTTTGATCATTCTCAAATTCAAGTTTTAACAACGAAGGACATTTAATCAACATTCAACAGTCTGACAATAGATTTAAATTCTAGAATTGATAGTCGTACTTATACATGTATACATCGATCTGCATGAATTGGCAGACGATTTATTTATGGCTAGACAGAAAAAAAATAACCAAATGTGAATAAATATATAAAAACTATGGAATCTGTGAATTAAAATATTTGCAGAAGACTAAGAATGTGTGTGTGTGGGGGGAAATAATTATCAAAGACATATTGAGATGTGCCTGGGTATTTATTAATAGTGGGATTATTTGATTTTATTAATAAAGCTTCTCTGATATTTCTTCTGTTAATGTGAGGTTCATGTTTTAGTACTGTGACATTTTGTTCAGAAAAACTGTGTTTGTATTTATTCATATGTTCATGGACTTGGGAAGGGGGGTTCTGGTATTCTTTTAATCTAATCTTCAAGTTACGTCCTATTTAAAAGGCTGGACAACTGATACACTTTATTTTGTAAATGTTTCGTGGTAGATTGGGTTGGTTCATTATATAATTTGTTAACATGTGTTTAATTACAGGGGTGAAAGCGATTCTAGGCGTTATATTGAGTTTATATTTTCGTGCTACTCTTTTTGAAATTTTTGATAGAGCTAATATTTTCTCGGTGTGGGATAATTCAAGTGATTAGGTTTCCTTTGTTTTGTGGAGTGTTTGAGTTTGTTTGTTTGTTAAACGCCTCTTGTATGTTTTTTATTTATTTATTAATAGTTTCTGTAACTACTTTAGAAGGCAAATGGTTTACGTCAGTAAAGCATTAAATGCGTGATTTCTTTATGAATAAGCCTCCCAGTGGCACAGCGGTATGTCTGGGTACTTACACTGCTAGAATTGTTTTCCCAGTGGCACAGCGGTATGTCTGCATACTTACACTGCTAGAATTGTTCTCCCAGTGGCACAGCGGTATGTCTGGGTACTTACACTGCTAGAATTGTTCTCCCAGTGGCACAGCGGTATGTCTGCGTACTTACACTGCTAGAATTGTTCTCTCAGTGGCACAGCGGTATGTCTGCGGACTTACACTGCTAGAATTGTTCTCCCAGTGGCACAGCGGTATGTCTGCGTACTTACACTGCTAGAATTGTTTTGTTTTTGTTTTTTTTTAATTTATGCGCAAAGCTACACAAGGGCTATCGGCGCTAGTAGTCCCTAATTTAGCAGTATAAGACTAGAGGGAAGGCAGCTAGTCATCACCACCCACCGCCAACTCTTGGGCTACTCTTTTACCAACGAATAGTGGGATTGACCGTCACATTATAACGCCCCCATGGCTGAAAGGGCGAGCATGTTTGGTGGGACGGGGATTCGAACTCGCAGATTGCGAGTCGAGCGCCCTAACCACCTGGCCATGCCGGGCCCACTGCTAGAAACCGGGTTTCGATACCCGTGGTGGGCAGATCACAGATAGTCCATTGTGTAGCTTTGTGCTTAACTTCAAGAACAAACTAACAACTTTATGAATGTTTTTTTTTCTGATGCATATACTAAACTTAGGAAACGTTTTAGTGTGTCTGGCTTCTGGTGGATTACATGATTAGAAAACCAGTTTATGTAATTTACGCCTTATGTGTTTTTTTTCTATGAATCTTAGTGTGAAGCCGTGTGGGATTTTAACGTTTAAATATTATCGTTTATTTTCATTTTCATCCGTTAATTGTATGTTTTTATGTAGGTTGTTTATATGTTGAAGGGTTTTTGTTTGTTCCTCTCGGCAAAAAAAACGTCATCTACGTATCTAAGCCAAAATTCAATCTTATATATGGAAGTGACTATGCCATGTTGTTTTGTGAGATGTAAGAAAACAGAGGCCAAAGTACTTGATAATGGAAGTCCGGTGCTACTATAGCGTGCGATCTACCGGGACTTTTACCCTATAAACAAAGCATATAAAGATGTTGAATAATAGCAGTCTACCTGGGATATTTACACTGCTAAATAATTTATTAATGATCATTATTATGGTAAAAACCAAACAACACAAAATTGTGCTACATAATTATTTTAATGATATACACTTCGTATATCATTTACAAATGGCACAAATAACTCAAATACATCTTTTCTTAGCACTTTCCATCAAATGTGATCAAGGTGTGATTGAAACAGCTCGGTTCTACTATAGCGTGCGGTCAGTGTAAATATCCCAGGTAGATCGCTATTATTCGTCATTAATAAATTATTTACAGTGTAAATATCCCAGGTAGACTGCTATTATTCATCATTAATAAATTATTTAGCAGTGTAAATATCCCAGGTAAACTGCTATTATTCGTCATTAATAAATTACTTACAGTG